TTACTCTTAAGAATGATAGAAGTTGTCATAATTATGTGAAAAAGATGCGATGACATTTTATTACTTTAAAAAGCATTAAACAGTGAGACACCTGGCCTCAAATTTCGTCTTATTTCATACACAGTACCTAATGCGATATCCATCGACTAGTCCAAACCGCATCAGCGGCAAAATAAAGGCACTAAGACAGATTTAAGCGCAGTCGTTACTTATCCTGAGAATATTTAAGTAACGAGGAAAGGACCGACATAATTCGGCCCCTAGTCTTTCTGGCTACTTTGATGTAACTTTTGACTGAGGAACTCCACAATACGGCTCCGTCTCCAGCAGGGCCACGTAAAGGAGGCTTTTCGTCTCGTGATGAAATTCTTGAAATTTTCTTGCAATCGAAATCATTTGCTGATGTTATTAACTTTTTCTTCTTCTTTTTTTATATTACAGGATCTACATCTTACATCTATGTTTACGGGAATAAATTTGTGTTTCTTTTCTCTTTATAACATCGTACATCCAGTAGGAGTAGGATTCAACTGATCGATTTAAAAGCATTAAAATATTGGCAGTATCCAAACCAAATATTACTTTTGGAGTAGGATGTCCATGAACAGTACATATGAGCTCTGCGTCAGTATTTTCGGCGGTGTTTATGATGTCTTTTTTGGCCGCAATTTCAGGAGCAACTGAAAGAGAAATAATAAGAGATTCTAAATTGCTCTCAGTTTAAATAATTGTTGTTGTTTAGATTTTAGCGTCAGGTATCATGGATGAAAATTTCAGGTGAAAAAATTCAACGTCTAGACTTGAACATTAAGGTTTTAAAATAACTTCCTACTGGTTACCTACTTATTGGATACAAAATTTCATTTTCCGATCTCGTACATGAATAGCCAAGGCCATTGTGGCAAAGGAAGTATAGATCCACCTTACTTCTTCATTTTCTTCTTTGCAAATTGGCTTTGTGACCAATTTGAACACTCCGGAGGTAGAGACGCTTATGATTAAACAATCTGTCGGTGGCCCCTATAACGTGGGTTCAACCACCTTTCATTATCGAATTGAATTCACAAATCAGAAATTATCTTTATTGAGGGATGTTGCAAGAAGAGAGATAATTTAATATTCTTCTTGAATATGAATTTAAAAGAAAAACCCAGAATGGCTACCCCACTGCCCAACTCACGCTTTTCCAGAGTAAGGTCTTCTTAGCTGTATCACGCAGACAGACAACAAAGAGGGCTGACGGCATTGAGAAGATTTTTTTTTATTTTAAAGTTTCAACTTCAAATACCACGCAAGTGGTAATCCTGCACTTTCAGCTAGAACCCCACCCCTCAGTCCCTACTATACAACCAGCCAGAGGCAACCGTTATTTAAGACCATCGAACTCGGGTCGCCTAGCCGGGAATCGAACCCGGGACCTCCTGGTTATGGAGCCAGGGCTACAATCACTTCACTGCAGGAGGCCGACAAATAATGGCTTTCATTCAGCTCTCGGCAAAAAATTGAGGGCTGAACTTACACAGGTAAGGAAACTATTCCAAAATAGTAGATCCAAAAAAAAAGGACTTACACAGAACTATGACTTCAACGGTAGCACTGGGACGATCAGTGCCATTAAGTCCATTATCTGCAGTACATTCGTAGAATCCAGAGTCGGTGCGATCCACTTTTGCGATGGTGAGTTCATCACCTCGATGCTCAACAGGACGCGAGTCTCTCCTGTGCTTGTGAATCCATTTTACTTCGGGAATTGGAGATCCCGTTACTTCACACTTCAAGTGGAGAGGGCTACCTTTTTGTACTTTATGTACCCCGGAAGGTTCAATTTTTTGGATAGCTGCAGGAACTTTAAATACGAAGAAAATTATGATTACGTGCAGAGTGCAAAAAATATTTTACACACAGTTACCATGTTCAATGAAAAGGGGCAAAAAAGCTCGAGAAAACGAAATGATTCGATTTTAATTACCTACAATGTTCTTACGTTTTGAAAGAAAATGTGTGAACTTTTTTATGATTCTTTCTCCTTCATTATTTTCATTTATTTATGTAACTTTAAGGTTGAAGAACATTTAAAGTTCCTCAAAATTCACTGGAAATTGGAGGGACATTTCCTTGGAAAATACGGTTTGAATAATACATATAGAACGATAAAAAAAACTTGGTGACTCAAAAACATTTCGACAAAAATTCAGCAGCCTTGAATACAGAGACAACTGTATTGGTTTTTTTTTTTTTTTTCAATTCTGAGACTAATTCAATTCCTTCCCATTGAACAATCTGACCATGATAGAGGATAAAAAAAACTTGTGAGGAAGCAGAAAATGATGCCAAATTTTACGCCATGATTGTGAGTTTAAATACACATGCGTGATATGAATGACGATAAGAGTAAGCTAATATAAAAAAGACCCACCGCAGAATGTAACTAAGTACAGAAAAGCTTCTGTTGATGAGGGTATCTCTCTTAAACCTTTTCCAAAATAATATCAGCCAACATTAACTAATTACTATTTTCAGTTACAGTGGCAACACCAGAGCTCTAATGGTGCAAAGCATGCACAATTCAGCAAAAATAAGAAAAAAGCACGCAATGCAAATAAAAATTAGTACTGCTCAAAAAATGGAATCACGTGGTCCTCTTAAACTTTCGTTCAAAAAAAGAATGAGGAAAGCGGTGAACATGCATCCAACGATTAAAATTTTAGAAACAAAAAACCAGATATATTGTTGAAAGCCTTTCTAAGCCTAAAAATCAAAAGATACTATTGACAAGAAACCGAGGTATATACATACATACAAATGTGCTGAATTAATGATATTTTCATTTAAAAAAAAATAGGTAAGTTGGGGGCAGGCGTAGTAGGTGGCTATTGATGAACTTTTTTCAAGAAGTAGGTACCTATTCCTCTCCTCCTAGAAGACTCCTTCAAATTCACGGAACTAAAGTTGAGCAAAAAATGAAAATATAAAGGGGCGGGATTTTTTCTCTCTGCTTGATGATGCATGCTCGAGCTCAATTTCTTCTTTCTTTGGCATCAGGAATTGGTACACAAACGCATATAATTAAGGCCAAGGGGCTCCTAACATATGTTTAAGGCTCTATTCATATCTAAAGACTTTAAGATGTTACAGTTCTCTGTTCTGCCGGCAAAAACGAAAATCTCTTCAATATCATCCCAAAGCAGATAAAAGGGATTCGATGGGGGGGGGGGGGGGAGATGATCAAGTTTTAGCGGAATATAAGAATAAGTTTCATCATTGGTGATAAAGGCCTGGGCCCAATCTGGATGTATGGAAGGCTAAGATACTTACGCTTCACTTCAAGTTTATGTGAGATATGTGGCTGATGTGTTTGGGTCAGGAGCAGTTTGCAAGTCCAGATACCGGCGTCGGCTGAGGTTACATTCGTAATTTTTAGATTATAAATGCCTGTTTCTTCCAGTTTACTAGTTAAATTGAACCTTGTGTTACTTTGATCAAATTTGTAAGCTCCGATGAATAATTGCTGGCTATTCATGAGCCACATGGTCTGTGTATTTCCTGCAAAAAGTAAATATAAATGTAAGATCGACGATTAATTGGCGGGCGCTTGTTACCAAAAATTGGATTTTAAAACTATAAATCATAATTTTAATGCGTAGAATGTTACTGACATTGAAATGATAAATAACACTGACTGGAAAAGCCCATGGAGAAATCATTTGAGTTGCTGTGAAAAAATACGTTGGAAAAAGGGGTAGATCATTGAAACCTTCTGTTCCGACTATTAGTCAAAGAGAAATTTACCTGGAATTGCTTTATTTATTTTTTTTTAAGAAGAAAAAAACCCGGTGCTTCCTCTGGAACGAGAAATAATGATGACAATTGACTGATTCAGGAATTACGTCATTCAATATAATATTGAAGCCTTGGTTCAAACTAAAACAAACTATCATATAAACACGATAAACTTTTATTGCAAGAGACCTTCAGACGCATTTTGCCACTATGACGCGAAGGGTGCGAATCAGAAACTAGATTATGTGGCTTTATACATTTGAACCATGATGTAGCCACTAAATCAGTGCTTGGTGACAGGTAGTGTTTAAAAAATGGTATCGTTGAGAAATGAAGGCGCAATATTCAGAGTCAAAAATAGGAAATCAGCGTTGTTCATCACCACTGGCTCTTTGATTCTCGTTTCTCTACGATCAACCTCCTACCCTGTTGGTGAATGACGAAGAGACAGCCAATTCAAACGTTTGTCGGGTAGCTTGCACCAGAAAATAGATGCTCGGGAAGAATTGAGATTGAATCAAATTTACGGGACCGTACGCCAGATAGGATATTTCCGATTCTATCACGAAAGGAAATAATTCAGAGCGATTTTTGGCGAGTATAGTCAAAATCCGAAGGTAGAGCAGGAAAAAGAACTTCGCCAGTGTTCGAAAGGCTGAGTCGCAAAGGATTCAGTTCATTTTTTGAGCCAATAGGAGGCACAAAGCTGCATTTTAATCTGAAAATGTTGAGGTCTTTTCCAAAAGTACGCGTCTTTGAACTGCTAACTTGTAGTTCAATTTAAAATAATAAGATCCGCCCAAACAGCGACTCTCTACGTTTAGAATTAGCCGACGTATCGCATTTTTAGAAGTTCAGTTTATGACGTCATCCACCACGGTAGTGACTGAGTGACACCCTTGGTTTCTTCCACATTGCTTTCATCAGTCATAGTGACGCACATTTGTACTGGTTACCCAACGTGAAACTCGGATGAAAGCCAGGTGGAAGAAACCAAGGGTGTCACTACCGTGGTGTATGACGTCATAATCCGACTTTTTCAAAGCACGATATTTCGACTAATACTGAACGTAGAAAGTTGCTGTTCGGACGGATCTTAATATTTTTAGCTAATCTACAAGAATCAAGCATCAATACACGGTTCTGTGACCAGCGCAACTGACCCATTTTATCACGCGATGATAGAGGGAAACTTTGAAAGACTAATGTAGGATTGCCACAGCCTTTGGAAGATGAAATTCCCTGACATTTCCCTGATTTCCCCGACAGTTGAGGATATGCCGAATGGGTAAAAAGACATAATTTGAAATAGTTTTCAGGCAAAATTTGTTGTTCGAAACGTCAAACCCATTCTTAAAGGCAGATAAAGGTGAATTAACAATTTTTCCCTGACAATTTCATCGTTATCTCTGACTTTTTCATCATTTTCCCAGACATGTTCAAGTTTTCCCTGACTCTTTAAAATGCCCTGACATTTTCCGGTTTTCTCGGTATTCCATGACTGTGGCAACCCTGCTGGCATACACTCTCAAAGGCAGATAAAGGTGAATTAACAATTTTTCCCTGACAATTTCATCGTTTTCTCTGACTTTTTCATCATTTTCCCAGACATGTTCAAGTTTTCCCTGACTCTTTAAAATGCCCTGACATTTTCCGGTTTTCTCGGTATTCCCTGACTGTGGCAACACTGCTGGTATACACTCTCAAAGGCAGATAAAGGTGAATTAACAATTTTCCCCTGACCATTTTATCATTTTCCCTGACTATTTCATCATTTTCCCAGACAAGTCCAGGTTTTCCCTGACTTTTTAAAATTCCCTGATATTATCCGGGTTTCCCCGTATTCCCTGACTGTGGCAACCCTGCTAATAGATATACAAAAGCATTACTCACCCAAATCTTGAAATTCACATGGTAGAATTGCCGTCTGTCCCTTCTCGACGGTTATGGTCATAGGCTGGGTTTTTATGATCGGCGGCCGCCTGGAGTCGGGCGCCCCCTGGTCGTTGGGTTCTTCCCCTCCTTCTCCACCTTCACCTTCCTCATCATTTTGTTCCTCTTCTAGATCTCGGTTCTCCGGTCGGCAGAGACCTGAAACCATGGGAAATTCGGCATCAGTGGCGAAAACTAACGGCATTGTAGATCATTAACCATCCAGGGAAACTGGACGTATTTCAGCTAAACGGAACTATAGACGAGTGAGAAAGATGGGATGCGCTCTAGAAAGCTGCGTAAGGAACGGCGCGCAATCCGTTAATTCTTCTGGCAATCAACTGACGTAACCGGAATTGCTGAATACTTTCGGTAAATATTTACTTGCGCTATAACTTAGGTGCGCAATGAGGTAGTGTCTCCGGCGATCAGCATCCGAAATGATGAGCATTTTTAGTAGATAATACTCCTTTGACAATGATTTTTTAGGACAACGGCTTCTGCGATCAGGTGGTACTATTACATGGGAAAAACTATATCGACGGTGAAAGTCGGCAATCACCTAACTCGTTTGCGGTGTCTGAAAATCTCCGCCTCTACGTCATTTTTTTAAAGGAGAACAAATTGATGTTATTTCTTGAAGTTTTTGCAGAATTTTCTTCGCATTGAGAAGAAAAATCATGACAGTTTTAAAGAATTGCCGTTGAGTAGTTTTCCATTTAAAAAATAAAGTATGACAGGAAGTCTGCGACGTCGCAAACCGAGTTATGTGATTGCCGACTTTCACCGTTGATATCTGCGTTATTTTGAAATGCGATATTTATACCGGCATTATCACCGCCTTTAGAGCCGTACTGCTGTAACGTTTCAGCTCCGATTAAGCCGCAAACGGGATTTGAGGTCAAGAAGAGAACTGCAGTCGATTTTCAAAAATTTGCCCCTTCTGAATCTGCATTCTGCAACCGCCCGGGCAATCATACTTTCTCACGAAAAAAGTAAATCTTGAAAAGTGAAAATGCTCCTCGCTACTGAACATAACATACATCAGAAAATCCGACAGGTTAAATTACGAGCTGAACTGCGGTTGTTTAAGCTAGCTTCGCGGTCATCACAGTTGAACTTTAGATGTGAGTGATGAGGCGTAACGCCTTGTTTCGGTCGTTTATACTAACTCTCGATGCCTTCGGGTGCGTGCTAAAGGCGCCAGGAGAGTATTTNGGGGGGGGGGGGGGGGAGCATTCATCTTGACTTGAGCAGCACTGACGATCATGGCTCACCATCACCGCGTAAACGTACAAAATATTCGATCCGTTCCGATCGATACTTTATATTGTGACAGCTTCGGTCGCTGTGTTGCTAAATTTCCTCGGGGAGAAAGGGAACTTTTGATTGGGCTCGAGTGTATATTCTACCGTGCTAGGCAAAAACGCAGTAAATCCATCAAGATTTTCCCTCGTTTTTCGGAACTTAACACTTCATAAAATGAAAAATGTTTAACCCATGCACTTCAAATTTTCGAGTTAAGTTCTTGATAGTATTTGCGAAAGAATTCCGTAAAAACATTGTCCTAAAGTACAAAAGTTTTCCTGGATCATGCATTGTTTCCAAAAAATGTAAAATATGACGTTTACGGCGTTTTTGAGTTGCACGACAGTATTTGAGAGTGTAGGTTAAGATCTAGGAACCTTGGCCGATGGGCACCATTCTTGAAATGGTGAAGGGAATATGGCGAGGATCCCACTTAGAAGAGTGGTATCTGAAGTAGGAGCGATTCCGATATTTGTTGGTGGTGAAAAATTTCAAGACTTAAGTTTTCATGAAAGTCTAACGCTTTGCTCACGATAGATTGCACTTTCTAAAGAATGATGGAAAATATAACCGACAACTGATATATCATAACAGTTTAACTGAAAACCGGTACGCATTAAAATATATGAAAAACATGAATGTTGTGAATTTTATGTTTAAGAAGAAACTACATACTGAGTGAACTAAGCATGAGAATGTCCTTGGTTTCTAGGAGTTTTAGAGGAGATATGACCAAATTGCCTAATCTGCCAAAATACATGTGTTTAAATGGGAAATGCCACCTGATGGCGTCACAAGGCAGCAGATTACCTTAAATTTAAATTCATCTTCGCACAATGTCCCACATTGGGAAAAATCATGTGAAATACTGCGAACCCAGCTCATTGAGCACTCCCAGACGTAGCAATTAGTGTTTTCGCACAAATTCTCCATTGGGAAAGTGGACTAGATTTTTAATGTATTTGCAAAAAAATACTCCTTGGTATTTTCTTTTTGGTCTCTTGTGCAAGTTATTAAAACTTCTTTTTTTATTATTATTCTACGTTGTATGCTGCTAGGGTGAGCTGAGCGCAATATGTTTGTATTCTAATTTGAAGTGGAGTGGTAAGAATCTTACAGAGGAAGCCTATTATGAGGATTTAGAGAGGTGAATCGGGTAATTTGTTCACTTGTCGAGGATACTCGGCAACAAGTGACCGTGCTTTTTCGGGGTGATGTGGGTCAACGGCCGCACAGAAATAGCCCGGCTCCCATGAATGCGGTGCTTTCAGATGTCTATCGATCTACTGAGTCTTTCCATGTTACATGCGCGTACGTCCGAGACGCAGAAAACAACCCATTTGCTGAGCGATTGCAGCAGAAGACTCAGTGTAACACGAGAGGCGTATTTCGACTTAAAGCCCTGGATATACGATCAATTCCCGAACCAATTCCGATCAAAGTAGCATCATCAAAGTGTCGGGAGTCATCAGTCTTTAACTCATTAATTTGCTTCATTTTAAAATGAAAACTTGGCAGAAATGTTTCCTGTGGCAGGAAATGATGAATGATGGCACTACGTTCTGATCTTACTTTGAACACAAAAAAAAGCGGCCCGTCAAAATTTGATGGTAGATGGTGACCACCAGTCATCAGCATGTCTACTTTGATCGGAATTGGTTCGGAATTTGGTCGTCTATCCAGGGTTTTCGATCTGGACGAGCAAAAATTTGGAATGGCAAATTGCTCGCTCCAAAAAATGTGATTCACGCTTTTTTTGGCAACAACCAAGACATACAACCGCCTGACACTGGGAGAGAGAGGGTAAACAGTTCCAGAATTTTAATTTAGAGAGTAAAGTTTTGGAACTATTTGTCAACAAAACCCAATTATTCATCGATTGATCGGTTGGCAGCGCCTGAGGATTCATACGGCGTTTTTCCTTAGCACGGCAGAGCAGCACACAAACAGCGACAAATGCGTCGAGGGACTTGGAAAATTTGAAATTTTTCTGGTCATTTGGCAACGACGAGAGAGACGGCGCCGCTCGCGAATCGAATATGAGGATATTATCATAAAAAAATACTAGACAAATTTTAGCACATCCTCGGATATCTGCAGACTCCAGTCGAGGAGTTCCGAGTCGAGTCTTACAGCCATGACGACACACAGTGGAAAAAACAACCGTTGAGAGGGAAATAATTCACGAAGCTAAATTTGCAATTGGAAATAAGAAAAATGACACAGAGCGAAACTACTACTAATTTTTTCCTTTTTATCCTTCCTTATTCCTGCCCCCCCCCCCTTCCGTGGTATATGCGAATACGGTGGAGAGTTTGCACCGAAAAATGTTAGTGCTTCATCTGCGAGTGCTTTATGAACTGAGTTCGCGGTATTTATCATGATTTTCTTCTGAAATGGGAAATCGTGGAAAAATTGATTTGAAAGTGAAAAAATATGCCGCATTGTGACGTAAGCTGGCGAAATTTGTCATTTACACACATGTATTGTAGGAAATAAGGTTATTTTGTCATATTTTTTCCAAAAATTGTTCAATTTAGAAACCGAGGATATCCTTGCGCTTAGTTCTCTTAATAGTTTTATTTTCAACGTGAAATTTGCAACACTTAAGACATCTACAAATTCTCGATTCAGTTGCCAATATATGTATATGGATTACATTTTGCAATAAGGAACCACTATTTCTGGCTCATTTTAGAAACAACATATAAGCCATTGATTTCCCTATGCAGATACGTAGTTTTATGGAAGAGCCAGAGATAGTGGTTCCTTATTGCAAAATGTAATCCATATAATGTAATATATATAAATAAAATAATCACGGCAGAGGATGTTTGATTTGGGAACGCTATGCATGTTTATTCTAATCATTTAAACGAACTCAAAGAATATTCATAGACAAAATTTGCCAAACATTTATTCTTCAAATAGTCACCCTAAACATTATATTGTGCAAACTTGGAGTGACTTTTTTTTTCTTTTATCGTTCTTTGCAAACATGCAATATTTCCGACTATCAAAACATTTTTTGACGCGTGATAAAGATTCTTTTGATTGCTTCCCGATTTGGGTTTTTATTAATTCATCACACTCGAGAAAATGTCAACAATTCTGTTGAAAACGTTTATCTGCATTCCATCGATGACCCTAATTTACGATCGGTATGCGAATTTCCATTTTCAGCGGATTTCTTGGACCCAAATCCATGATTATTTAAAGCTCTATTCCTGAGGAGGGGAATAAGATTGAAGTTTGAAGTTGCTTTTAAACGAATACAATCCCGACACACTTTAAAAAAATTCGATTCGAACATTTTAGGGTCCAAACAAGATCAGTCTGATTTACATTTAATCTTAGTGTGCAGATCCGGGACGCGGTGTGGGGGCGTATTGAGGAATCCGCTGAAACTGCCATAAAAAAAACTTAAAAGCTCACTAGCCTTTTTCATCCTGCAAATATTTCATTTCTTTTTTTGCAGGGTGGATAAAATTTACTTTTCAGCACTATTTTTCCTTACTAATGAATATTTTATCGATTCTCTTGAAGGAGATACGATGAAATTCAATCAATTTGCTTTGCATGGCCGAATACCTATGCGCTATCACTCAAACGATACACAAGACCAATAAAGGAAAAACTTCCAAATACAGTATGTAGTAAGCGAAATGAAATCATAAAAAAATTCTGGTTTGTAGTTCTCAGGATTCGTACATAAATTGAGTAAAAAAGCACATATTGTATATGTACATTCTCAATTTTTTATATAATTTTCGAAAGTTCAGAGGTATTGCTGATGCGTATTACCAAAATTGCTAAATAGGGAGAAATATGTGTTGAAATTTTTAATTGAAAATTCTCACTGTGCGTTGTATCCGGTCTGAACTCAGTTAATTGGCCCGATGTGAGCTTACGTAAGGCTTCTTGAAATTAAGCCAATTTTTGCAGCCGCGCTGTCAGTTCCATTCACGAGAAAATAGTGTTGCCAGCAACTCGGACAAATGCAGTTGAACTACCTCATACGGCAAAAATACTTTTTTCGCCGACATGCGGCAATCGGTGCGAGGTGTGAGGTTGGAAAGTCCAGACACCCAGTTTCCTCGAGAAGCAGGGAGGAGATCCTATCCTACAGTGAGCCAACTTTGCTTCTGAAGATCTATGATCACTTTGTTTTCCAGGATAGAGACTCAAAGGTATGAAAAGAAGATACTCCTTCAGGATTCTCCCATTAATTACAAAAATTAAAAAAAGTTTTAACACGCCCATCCACTTCCCGTGACGATCCGTAAAACTGCGGTTAAATTCCTAAAAATTACGTCACGTCAACAGCTCTGACCTACGTTTTCAAAGACGTCACGAGCAAGAATGTGGTCAATTGGACAAATATGCCAGTTTGTTATATACAGCTTTACTTTCAAGACGGAGAAAAATTTATTAGTGAAGTTGAGTCAAAAGGAGATGAAAAAAATGAGCAGTTTTCCTATTTAATGTCTCAAAAATTACGTAAAATCGCCTAAGAAAGTTGGTGAAGTAGCCATTTAACGATACTTCTCCCACATCCTGTAGTGTTGCGAAACGTCCACCACGATCAACTACCATCTGAACTTCTGAAGCATGCTCATGATCTACTGAAAAAAAAAAAATATTACGAAGTCACTGATGCAGTTGTCGATATTTTTTTCCAACTTGTTGTCTTTATTCGCAGTACTTTAGTCACTATAGCCGAGACTTAGGTACTCAGAAATTCATGAACCATCAACATGTAAATTTTGCCCGGAGATTCTTGTCTGGAGGTTGAACCGCATATCCTCAACACCAGATGAGTTTGCAGGTTTTGCAACCGCTAAAATAAAAACCGAGAGCAAAACCGCAAATAATAAGGATTCTGAAGCAAACTCCGACGATGTCATTCGGCGTTTGAAAATGAAAACACGGACAGCATAAATGGAACGAATAATTGACCCACGACAGCTTTCAACCCAATGACCATTATGCTCCTCTCTGCTCCAGTGCTCCTTTTTTAAATTAAAATCAAAGAGCTTGCCCAATGATCTGTGGCAAAAGCGCACGCAGTATTGCCAAACCGGGCAAAAAATAACGAATGAAGAGATGATCGGATAGAATTTAATAAATTTATTTTCACATCAATCGTTTTACTTACATAAAACGTAAATCATACGCTAACGTAACGTGAAAAACAGTTCATCGTCAACCATTAAGCTTGAGATAACAACAATACACGAAATAGCTCGTAATAATTTAACTAAAAAACAATAAGAGAAACGGGGACCAAAAATGTTCACACCTTAATTTATGACAAACTGAGGGCGCAAATGTAGCAGAAATGGATTTTTCCGGTCATTTATGTGGAACAGAGTACACGTGAAGAATGAAGTATAAAACTAGGAGAATTTAGAGTTTCATTATTATAACTACCAATCATACTCCGAACGGGACAGTTTTCGTTGAGAAAATTCATAATACTGTACTGTACTGTGTGCCATGTAGAGACAAGGGACCCTCCACTGGCCTCTTGGCGACAGGTGGAAGCTTTTACTTTCGGGAATTCAACAGTTCCTTATGGAAAATTATAAGGGAGCAACATTGATTACCCTAATTTCGGATGTTGACCTACCTACGTTGTGGATGATGAGCTTCGGGTGACGTCATGAGCCAAACAAGTTTCCCAAACCTCGGCCATTTTCGGCTTGTTTGCAAAACGAAATTGCCGACACGTTGTTGAACATCAAACATGTAGGTAAGTAAACAGTAGAATGCTGAAGTCCCGAAAGTAAAAGCTTCCGCCACGGCCAAGATACTAGTGGAGGGTCTCTTGTCTCTGGTGCCATGGCATTTTTGAACATCAAGTTGAATTCTCTATTCGTTAAGCACCACCTACGATCGGAGCATAGCCGAATTGCAAAAAAAACGTCAAAAAATCGATTTCATAGACTTGACAACAATGAGTGAATTCAACCTTGCGTTTGTCATGCTCATGTTAAAGTCAGCGTCGGATCAACCAAGATCAACCCGCGGTGCAGATTTGATTAGCAGTCATCGTGGTCTCACCGCCAGGTTGACAGTTTTCGCGGGGGAAAATTAAATTCTCCCGCAAACCCTCGAGAATATTTTTCGCGGATGGGGTTGCAACACTGGGCGTGTTGCTCCCGCCCTGGTTGCGAGAGGGCTTTAAGATGTATGCGATTTGAAGTTTCAATCTTGGCAGATTTATCGATTAGAAAGTCGCAAAAGCGGGCAGCGGGAATTATCAACGGCGTAGAAATGACGAATGTCGCCATGCGGTGGTAGTCTTGTGGTTCTAATTTCTATCGACATTTGCAAAGGCCGATTGAGATTAGGCGCATGGAATGGACGCAGAAGAGCGAGGAGTGACATTTTCATGCATACAAGACAAATGATCGTAGACTAAATATTACTATGCGTCTATCGTGCGTCATCTCTGGAGTTAGATGAAATCCTCAAATTTGCTGATCTATAGGTCCAAAAAATTGTAGGGATACATAGATCTGGGATCAGGCTGCAAGACTTTATGGGATGAGATTATAGGGAAACTAAAAAATATAATGATAAGATAGCATCTTGAACGTTAAAATTGTGTCTGGTAATCTTCAGAAATAGACGGATTTCCTGAACTTCCCATTTAATAAATTATGCTAAATTAAAAAGAGGATAAAAAAAAATACTTGATTTCGTTCGGGCAAAATTCTCTTATTGCAATGCATGGTTTACATCTGACGAAGTGCAAAATGGGCACTTGAGGATATTCTGATTGTAAATACTTAAAAATTGCGTTGATAAGATATTCCTGACATCTCAAATCGGTTTTGATCAACTCGTCACATCATTAAAAAAAATATACATTGTTCTAGCGGTAACAGCAATGACCTTTTTTTATCCTTCATTTTAAAATTTGCCTACTTCCGCCAGTGGGTATTAAGAATCAATAGCGACAACCTTATGCATATTTTGAATCTAAAAAATCGGAGGAAAGCGTTAGCACTAAAATCAGAAGATAGACTTAGAGTTAGAATTAAGCGTTAGAATTTTTTGCCTACTTACGCCAGGGGGTGTTGAGAATTGATAGCGACAACTTGATGCATATTTTCCGGGTGTCTACCAAAACAGGCTGATCAAAAATAAGTACTTGTGCAGTACTTTTTCAGTACCTTATCAAAAATGTCAGTACATCCTCCAACAGAAAAATTCCGTACTTTTACAGTACCTCCATTTGACGAAATTCGAAAAATTTCAAAAAATTGAATTGCGAAAAAAATGACATAAAATTGAAAAAAATTCAAGACCGTTTTGCGGAATTTCCGTACTTTTTCAGTACTCCCGGACCGCCCTTAAAAAATCAGTACTATTTACGGACTTTCCGGAAATTCCGGATTGGTAGACACCCTGATTTTCACTCCAAATAGTCTGAGAAAAGCGTTAGAATACCTTTATCAAACGAAAGTGGCGGAATCATTCCCAGGAAGACCAATAAAACTGCAATGAAACGTTCCTAGGTCGGAATTTCTGAGAGGTTCCTGAGTCATATCCCTCAAACACATCTCGAAAATTTCGCGGGACATTCGCGGCACGTCTCCGGACGTTTTTCGTGGGAAGCGGGCAGCTGACCTAATCAATAACGACGCTCAACATTCACTCTTGCGTGTCATTAGGGGGACCAACAAGACGAAGACATTTTCGGAACATAGAAACAATCGTGCTTTGAATGAAAATCCGGACCCGGGCGCATTCTCATCACGTCCCGCCGAGGCCCAATAAAGCGGCCCACGATTAGGCCATTTATCGTTTTCGACTACGTGAAATGAGGCGTCTGGGTGCTTCATCTTTTTTGGCATTCGCTGCCGCGGAGATCACGGCTTTCTTTTGGCAGGTGGAGTGAGAAATGGGCCGGCGAGACGCTTAGTGTAATGATGACAACACCAGACGACCTTGTAAATCGCGGTGCGCCGTATGTAACGTCAATCAATGTAACTATAAAATCTAGCATGATTAATTTTTAAAAAATGTGTCTGTTCCACTCATGGGATAATGCCAACTGAGAAAATGTTTTCCAGGTGGAAACGCGCATGAATCACGTAGTACACATTAGAAAAGTAAAAAATCTACTCCTTTACGCAAAATCACCTGAAAGCACTCGGTGAAAACAATTTGCGAGATTGTTTAATTGGGTTAGGATATTTTACGTCTTTCTGGGAAAACATAATTTCTGGCAACTAAGAAGAACCAAAAAGACAGTATTTTTGAATAAGGGCAATACGGAATACGCGAATTGTGCATTGAAAGGTGGATTTTAGTCATTACTGATGTGCTTAACGTGAATTTTGTGAGCTTCATACCTGTCAGAACGTTCTCAGTTTGCTTTATTTATTACGTGGAATGGACCAACTTCACCTGAGGTTGATGAAATTTTTGTTAACAAAGGAACGGAGCCTTCAATTTATTGTACATGCAATACGCTTTTCCGCTGTCGAGCCAAGAATACTTGGTGACATCTAATTTTGCTTCATTCAGTTTCTTGGACATAATAATGTTGTCATGAGAATGTTGCCTCACGGTTACAAATATTATATCTTACCAGACCCAATCAACAAGAGAAGTAGCAGGTATATATACTCCATTATAATTTGATTATCAGGATCATAGTGTCAAAGAGTATCCTTTAGTTCTGATTGTGGAACGGTAACAAACCTGAAACACACGAAAAAAGAAAAGCGTTAGAAAGAGAATGAACTTGAAATTCTAAAAGTGAGGCACAAAATGAAGCTCCGAATTCGATTTCTTATTAATTTTCAAAGCGCGCTCTAAGACGAATTTCACTCGAACTGATCAAATATCTCAAGTTAGCGCAGAAAAGTCTATGACAAAGACGATCACGGTTCAGTATACCTAATTCATACGTTCCTGTGCGGCAAAAATTTGAGCAGTTTTGACTTTATCAGACATACACTGTTTCCTGCTTGGTGGCAGAGCATCGTCTACAGCTCTACCAGAACGTACCTCGGTTGGGAATCTTTCCATGATAAACTTATGTAGGACTCGAGTGGCTTACGGTGGCCACAGCCAGGGCGGCGCACTCCCATCAAGCACACATACTGTGATGCGGAATTACAGTGCGATACGAGGCAGAACCACGGTGGTTTATGACCGCGAGCACGACACCAATGCGACAAGTTCTAGCTTCGAGATTGCGTCTCTTCAAACGGCCATCGGCAAAAATGCTACATCATTACAGAGGCTGGGATTCCTGGACTGATACAGTTACTTTGCAGGTCATCCGGAGTTAACTTTGAGTGACTACTTCAGAAGCCAGAACAAGTTCCCTGGTTGACCAAGCACACCATTAAAACAGATAGGAGTGTAGAAATACTGGCGGAAGCCTGGTAAACTGATTTTAGGTTTCGGTCAAAACTGCGTCCGCAGTGTGGACTATGTTTTACATAGTTTCATGGGGAAACATCGGCAATTTCACGTTCCTCGGGTTTTCATTCAAATCTGTAGCACACGGAAAAAATAATCGTTGTCCTAGCAATGATTTTAGTAGATTCCAAGCCCTACCTACTTTTCTAGTTCGCAGTCATTATGTTAATCATGTGGTAACAATTTGTTCGGTCACGATTACATTGCTAATGGGACGGCATTGTTACTGAAGCCAAAATAAATGTTACAAAAAAATATGATGGTCCCTTCACGACCAGAAAAGTAGGTACGACCTGAAGACCACTAACAGTATTGGCAGTATAGAACTACACTACCAAACACGAAAAAGGATTATCCAGACACCTCGTGCGAGAGGGGCGGGG